CAAAAATAAAATAAATAAAGCTAAACTCAGCTAGAAACCTAAGCTTTGTCTGCTTTGGATAAACTGTTGGACGCTGTTAAACTGTGTTGGGATGGAAGCTGACACCACACTCATTCACAGCAGAAATTCTACAAATCACATAGTTGTTCCAACTTGTCATCAGCTGAAACTCTGCACTTCTGTTAGGAGAACTTCCATGCGTTCTCCCCCATTCCACCAGTTCTCAGCAAATTTGCCTCCTTTTTATCTGTTCCTAACATTTTCAGTGAGATTAGAAGTACTTACTTTGGCATTTGTTTATTTCCCATATTCATGCTTGTTCCATATGTCTGCTGTTGAACTGGGAGACCACTGGAACAGAGACCATCTGAACTATATGTCCACAAATCAGCTAGCACACTGCAGTTTATGTAAAACATTGTTTTATAAGGTGTGATATGGTAAGGTATATCCCTCCAGCCATTTCATTTTAGAACCTGTGTTTAAACATCCATATTCAACATATTTGTTTCGTAGTTTGATAATCACAAATTGTCATTCCAGGTGGCTATTTGAGCTCAAAGTGTCGGACGGATGTGACCAACCAGATTGAATACAATATACAGGAAGAAAGCCTGACTCTCTGACAAAAGAGACCAGGACAATCTTACTTTTTCATTCACTTATATTTCAAAAAAATAGAAAAAGTATAGTCACAGAGAGACAATATGGAGAAACTACAGATTATGGCAACTTTGTGGAATGCTTTCCACACTGAAGTTTCCTGGGAGGATTTTTGCTTTCACATGAAAATTCAGCTAGAGTCCAACAATATCATGGGTGTACACCCCTAAAATAGAAGCATATCACATTCTTTTCTTTCACATGCCCCTATGAAAAACAAAGCAGATAAATCTTCTATTTAGAGTGTTTTCATCCACTAATATTAAAGAATAATTTTCAAGAGAATTAATTTTTAATGAAAATTTCACTGTCATGTAAATTTTCAGCAATGATGGTACATGACATATAACCTATTGAAAAGAGCTAGAGAAATAAGAAACATTTTGCCACGCTACGACAACCCACTAACCTGCAAATGTGAGATAGTTGCATAAAACAATTTTAAAGCTGTCAGCTACTATAATACAAATATTGATTTTTTTACTCTGGAATAAATGAGTATATCCTGAATATCTAATAAAGGAAAGACTGACAGGAGACACACTGATTCCAACCCAAAATTTCCAGTGAATTAAAACTATTTAACAGCAATCAGTACACATACTAGCTAAGCAATACAAAACAGCCTACCAATATGTTCATGTTTGCACAGATGCTTTTTAATTTGTAAAAAAAAAAAAAAGGACTTTTTATTTCCTTTGATATTCCTTTGGAGATGTTACATCAAAGACAATGGTGGTTTTGCCTCTGTGGATCTCTGAAAACAGCAGACATTCTGATTATTTGGGTTTCTTAGTATTTCAGGAGGGAGGAAGAGAGAGGACAGGGATAGAAAATGTTTAAAACAACTAGAACCATTTGCTCCTACATTGTAATATCTAGTTTTGGTATGGTTGTATGCTAGAATGTAATCTATTCCTTTATATTTGTTTTCTGTTCTGTTTTGCTCATTAAAAAAAGTCAACAAAACACATCCTAAATATTGCAAAGAAGAGGTAGCATAGTAGGGGAGCCCACATTTACTATTAGCTACCCCGTGCTTTATCATAAAATGGATTATAAAAATAGGTTCAAAAATGTATTTTTAAAAAATTATTGCTTATGAAGGCTCAGTATCAAGAAACAATGTACAAAACCTGCCTTTGTTCTGGCGACTCTGGCTCTGAATGACAGAGAGTGGTGAATAACAAATAGGCTAGCTGCAAAACAGGATTTGGCTGCTGAATAGCAGCACTGACAGTCCCTACAATTTCAAATGGCACAACTGTCCTGAAACAATTGCTCACATATCCCTGGAGCTAACTCAAAGTGTGCAACATTCGGTATGCTTTTACAGAAATTAACAGCAAGACAGACAGTATCAACTGTCTACTTCAAGGTAAAGAGTAAATGATAATGGAGAGGAACGAAATGTAAAGATGGAAATTGGGCCAAGTTTAGAGAAGAAAAGAGAGGCATTCCTAGAGAAAGAAACAACTAAATTTGCAGATAATTCCTGGGGTTACCTCTAAGCAAGGTACCCAGTGCTCAGTGGGTATGAGAGCTTAATTGCTATTCTGTAGCATCAACAGTCATGAAGCAAACACTAATATAAAGATCACATTTATTTGAGAATGATGTGGCAGATATACACAAGGTTATTGACAGCAAACTCTTTAGAGAAATAGGAACCCCATGTTTCAGGAAACAAGAGAAATATTTTACAAAAAGGGTCTAAAACAGAGGGCTTTAGAGAAAATACAAAGTAAGTATCCATGAAATTCCATGGAATATATGCATATATTTATTTTTTAAATACAGACTAATACAATATCATTCAGGAAAATTAGTTTAGCTAGGGTATTCGCTGTGATACACAGTGGAGTAAAATCATCAGATACAGTAAATTATTTGCAACAAAAGCCAAAATGTAAAAGCAGACTGCTGGTGGTTTTACAGCAGACTTTTTTCCTGCTTCTTTACCCAAGAAGCAACATTTTATCGGTCGATTGACATTATATCATTACAGAGACTTTTGAAATGGTCAAACTGCCTACTTCTCTTAAATCAGTACAAGCCTAGCTATTTCATTACAAATTTAATGTCAGAAAAGAAATCTTGGAAAACTAAGGTTTAATGTGCTAACCAGGATTATAGTGTTTCCCTCCCTCACAGTAAGGCTGTCTACTACCTGCAGCATTACTACACTTATGGCTGTTATGAAGTACCCTGCCTCTCATTTTTATTGTATTCAGCTGAATTTCTTCTTCACAACATTCATTCCACTCAAACATACAAACTCTTTTACTTTAAAAAACAGTGTTCAGGAAGGTAAGTACTCTATTTCTAAACAGCCATGTACTGGCAGAAGACTATAAGCACATACACAGCATAATACAACCTGCAGTGGTTCAATGTCATTTTATATTGAAGGAGGGGACCCCTGGTGGCCTAGTGGTTAGCATGCGGGACTCTCACTGCTGCGACCCAGGTTCGAATCCCAGTCCCCCGGGCAGATGGAGCCTGTTAGCCCTGTGAGGCCATCCATCTATGAGAGGGTCACTCTAAACAAACCTACGTCCTGAGGACCTCACTGCCATTGTCCAAGCTTGCTTGGCCCCGGCAGATGAACCTTAGGATTAAAGGGTGGGCTCAGTTCAGCGCATGCTGTGTCTCACCTAAAAAATCCATTGCGCAGGCTGGAAAGGTAAAAAGACCTTTCCCAAAATCTTCGTTCGCGAAGACTGGCCATTATATTGAAGGAGGCATCAAGAACTGAAAAAGCACTAAGCACTATAAGCAATATTCTATCCACTGAAGGAAAAAATAGAAGTGTTCAGTTTCAGGTCCCTCACTCCAAGGCCATTGAGGCGCTGAAGCAAGTCCAGAGAAGGGCAATAGAAGAGCTGTGAAGGGTCTGGAGAGCAAGTTTTATTTGGAGCAGTTGGAGTTGTTCAGCCTGGAGAAAAGGAGGCTCAGGGGGAACCTTATCACTCTCTACAACTATCTGAAATAAGGGTATGGTGAGATGGGGATCAGTCTCTTCTCCCAAGTAAAAAGCAGTGAGACAACAGCAAATGGCCTCAAGCTCCACTAGGGGAGGTTCAGGTTGGATAGAACAAGAAATTTCTTCACTGAAAGGGTGGTTAACACTGAAAGGGTGAAACAGTCTCCCCAGGGAAGTGGCGGAGTCACCATCCCTGGAAGTGTTCAAAAAATGAGTAGTCACGGCACATTGTGATAAGGTGCGCACCATGGGCATGGTGTTATTCAGTCAGAATTCGGACTTGATGAACTTGGAGGTCATTTCCATCCAACCTTAATCATTCTGTTTCTATGATTTCTGTGTTTTCAACCCTTGAATTAACAATTTTCAAGCAGTCACCCTACATTTTTATAGTATGTTATATATACACTCTTTAGATATGTCTTTCAACTTATTTTTAAAGGATTTGTGAAAACCAAATTTTAAAATTTTGAGCAAAAATTCAAAACAGATTGCCATTTGAAGGACAGGCTACCAATTTTAAACCACTCCAATGTTTAAACCACTCCACTTCCACATTTAGAAATGCAGTTACAAAAGACAAAAGCTAACAAATGGAATGAAAGTAAACTAAAAAAGAAAGAAAATATTAATAGTTCAAAATAAGTGAGTACAAGCTAAGGTAGACCAAGAACTATATTGGAAACAGTGTCGGGCAGATCCAGAAGACTTATGCTTTCTCTAAGGCTTTGAATGGGCCACTAATCACTCACTTTCTATCAGACATCACAGTCATGCACACAGTGACAACTTAAGTAATTCACATGTAACATAGCAAGTATATTGCACTTATGCATATCTTCTGCTTGGGTACATCAGTTTTCTTGAACGACACTCTTTGTTGTGTGATTTGTTTTATGCACATTTTTCAATGTCCAGATGGTAGAGATACAATGTAGCAAGCAGATCATACATCCTTTTACCTTCATAACTAGTTCACTGAGGTAAGAAGCCACAATAAAGAGACCTCACAAACACATATTGTGTAATATTCCCAGTCTGTTCAGGTTTCATCACCAGTAGAGTTCCAAAAGTGAAACTTTCACAGTTGACATTGATCAAGTTTGTTATTCTTTTTTTGTGGAACAACAGCTTTGAATTACTTTCAGTAGAACACCAAAGACTGTTATCAGTGTTAATGAATTGCCATGTGTCAAAAGGCCCATCTTAATAAAAACCTGGTTATTTATTCCTTACCTTAAACATGGTTTACTGCTCTCTACCTGGCAATAATCATCACAATTCAGATTTTCAATACATTTCAAATATTGGAACACCTTAATAGCAAAGCATATATTAATACACTACTCACCAATTTTAACCTTTGCAAAGGTATTCTGCTAGTGTCTATCGGAGTACGCTCTGTGACATTACCAAATCTGACTTCTGGGATGGCAATTGCACATATTACATGTGCCCACCTGTGAAAAGTGGCAAGTCAAAAATACCACCAAAAAAAACATAGAAGTACAAGTGTTTCAGATGTTTCACTACTTGCTGTGTGTTTGTTTTTTGCTTTTGTTTTTGGGTTTTTTTAAAGGTATCCATCTCTACTTAGTTCCTTATTAGGCTTTCCTAAACTTCTTCAAAATATTTTAGCAAATGTTACACCACCACCACATCATTTAAATATAATTTCAGACTGAGGCTTTGTTGCAACATTTTTTAAGCATCTTTCACTTTCTATTAAGTGCAAAGCTTTCGTAGTTGTGCCATTCAGGTATGTATGTAAAGAACATGCTATTTGGTTCATGAGTAATTTATCACCTACAGCATTTTGTATTAACACTACTCAGACCTGAGTAACTATTTGTAGGCAACGCACATGATCACAAAGAGTCATATATCTACTGAAATGCAAAACAAAGTATACTATCAAGATCTTCTGTTTACAGACACAATGTCATAAAAGCAGCAGAGTGATCATTCTATCAGTGCAATGCCCAGCATGAACTGGATCACCTTTAGCAGTGAAAACACCTGCAAGTGCCTAGGACCAACGCTACATGTAAGACTTCAGTGCAACTTCAGGAAGTTTGTCAGATCATTTATGTGCTTCCTATATTCATCAGAAAGCACTGCTATTATCCTCCAAATTCTGTTTCAATACATAAATATCAGAATAAGAAAGGCTAAATGAAACCTTAAAAAGTCTGAAATTAATATTGAAAGTGTATGTTTCATGGAGTAAAAGAGAAGCTAATGACATTCTTATTAACAAAGAGCAGCATTCTGAGATTACTTCTAAAATCTCTTAGGGGTAGACAAGTAGTAAATCTGAAGAAAGGAAAACATTTCTATTCTTTGACTCATATTTGCCTTATTCCCTGTCATTCACTGTACATCTGGTTTCATTACCCCATCTGCTCTATTTCTCTAAGCCCTGAATGCTTGCCTCACTCCCCTTTCTGTATATCTCCAAGAGACACACATTATTTGAGCATCTTAGCAGATTAACAGGAATGTGGGCTGAAACTGAAGGAGATGGAGGGTGATGCAGAAAATAGAAATAATTTCTCTTTCCTGCAGTAGAGAAGTAGTATTTCAAATAAGTCATTGACAAAAACATCTAAAAAAGTATAATATGACACCCAGCAACTAAATATAAACTGCTGTCATGTGACTTCAAAGTTGTATTCATCAGTGTGAAATAACAGCTGTATATAAAGATGACATATCAATTAGCAAGTTATAAATTCAGCCCAAATAAAAGCAGGTAAAGCTTGCAGATCTATAATTTTATTAAGGTGACAGCTTTCTTCATGTTTTAACTTAAAGGAAAGAGTTCTGCTTTAAGACTTCTTTAAATTTTTAATAACACCGTTTTTCTCTTCATTGCTGCCTGCCCACCTGCTAAACTACAGTCTTATCATCTAAGCTTTATGGGACAGAAATGATGTAAATAAAATACCTCTTCAATCAATCTTTACCCAATCATTTATACTCTGACATCTCTCAACCTAACAGACTCAAAATAATTGCTGTGTTCTGCTGAAAAGAAGGAATCTCAACTCTCCTATATGGTAAATTGTTTCCTGCACGCACACACACTGAGTTTGATACGTTAGCTTTTAAATACAAGTAATGGTCATATCTCTCACTAGTATGTAAGGAGCAAAGAAGGAGCAAAGAGAATGCACATGTAAGATTTTACACTTGTGGAAAAAAAAGACATTTTTGTAACATACTTTTCTGAAAAACTCAAAATCTTGGAATGGTAGCTAATGCTGAAAGATAGATGAAAAACTCCACAATGTATAACAGCTATAAGGTATTATGGAAACAGGAAAACAGCAGTTGAACTGATTTTACAGAAATTCCATGTCATAAATCTCTAACACTAACCTAAAGAGTGACAGAATGTAAAGCCAAAGACTTTATGTATTGTTACACAAAGAAAGTCACTTTATGTAAACCTCTGTGGATTTTTTTTCTATTAATAAATCTTATGAAATATTTGGAAAAAATTTCAATTGGTCCACAAAAAAAGATACATATTTTCAAACAAGCAACCTGTAATCAGTCAACAGCAAATATTAAAAAGGGCATGAGATATTTCTGCCATTTTTTTTGTCCCCCTTTTTTTTTTGTGATTAAAGCAAGTAACAAATTTAAGGGAATTTAAACTAAAAATCAGCTGAGAATTTTCATGTACTGGCCAAAACCTCCACTAGATTGGTTACAATATTAATGCTTTTTGCAGGTAAGATATGGCCTGAGTTTCACATAAAATCTTCTACTAATTGAACAATTTACCAGTCATGCAACCCAATGCAAATCACTGACAAATAAATTCTTTCCTGCTAAGCAAAAAATAATGTTGTACCAAGATTATGTCTTATCACTGCATTCCAAAGCATTAAAGAAAGAGTCTACATGATATTGCGAAGCTACTAAAATAATCCAATTAATTATGAAATTCGAAATGCATGAAGACTGTTGTATTACTGGGATTGACAAAATATTAAGGTGAGACATTTTCCACTTTATCTGTTAGAGTTTCTTGCCACAGTCTTCTGTCATCCAGGTACAATAAAAAATACTGATTCTGTTAATAATACGTCATCAACAATACTATTTTTGACAGCGTGTGCTATAAATGTATTTGAATAAAAAAAGAACAACCTCAGAACTGAAAATTATTTCAATATGATTAAAATTAATTAACTGAAAATACTGGTTTTAGAAGTTCAAAGGTATTGTATGGTAGTTTTCAGGATGAAAGAGGAAAATACACTTTGCTGTTTGGTAAGACTTCCTCATGCAAACAGGGATAAATGAGCTCTTATTTACTTTCTCTATACGAAGGCCAGCAGATTAAAATTTGGAACAAGCTGCGTGCAAATACTAAAGCAAACGTACATTTTATTATCTAACTATTTCACAAAATGCCAGTGGCGCATTTGAATAGCAGTAATTTTAGTTCTGCAACAATTCAGCTTCAAGGGACACTGTCAAGTAATTATGTTTACAAATGCTTTGCACATGGGAATGGATTGGGAATAAAGTCAAAAATAAGCACATACAGTCCTGAAAAATATATTACTTACTTTTTGTCAGTAGTTTGCTTCAATGCACCACCTCTCAAATTGCAGAGACAACATTCCTAAAAATAAAAATAGTGTAGGAAAAAAGTCAGCATTATTTCCTGTTTAAAAATCAATTTTATTTAGCTGATCTTGAGGATAAGCAAATTGCTAATGTAATTAACTACTGGGATACAAACTGCCACTTATAAGCATTGCATTTCCTTACGGGGGGAAAAAAGGATACAGTAACAAAAAGAGAACTCATATGAGCTAAAGAAAAAATATTTAAGTATTAATCATAAACAAAGTGACATAATCACTTTGAAAGTGATACTAAATAAAAAAAAAAACAAAACTTTTAACCAGTACTGCCATAGAAAAGCTAGAATTGTCATACATATTATAAAGGTAAAATGAAGTACTAAAGCACATAATTAGTTTAATAGAAGTTACTGAGAAACTGACCCATAAGCTATTGATCTAATTCAATTTTTTTTTCTTTTGCTGTAGTATACCTTCACTGCTTTGATCATCAGTACAACTCCAGCTCTTTCAGGGCACTCAGCAAGGTGTTTCAGTGGTTCCCAGATAATATGCCAAAAGACATGGCTTTTCCTACCTCTACTTAAAACTGAGCCTTAGAACAAACACAGTCTTTTCTACTTTTCAACTCTTCACTCTCCTCCATTTCCGAAACTATTCTTTCCCTTTTTCTTTTTTTTTTCCCCTTGTCCCTTGATAAGAGCTGATGAGAAAGTATTTCCAATGTTATTTATTTTCCTTCCTCTCTCTGTTTTTCTGGTCTCTACAAATAACCAAGTGTACAAAATGGAGTCAAAATATATTGTGACTGTATACCCGTACGTGAGCATGTCTCCTGAACCTCTACGTTTAAAGTTGCTCTTGCAGGAGAAAAAAACCATGCAAACAAACAAAAAACCAAAATAATACCAAAGCATAATTCTGAAGAACTGCTATGTAATACTCCAGTCTGACTTTACCTTAAAAATTCCAGTAATGAAGAGTATCAATGTCTGCCAGAAATCTGAATGCTATATTACATTTCCTATGAAAATAACCTTTCCTAATGAGGAAACCAAACAAAAAAACCAAACCAAACCAAAAAAAACCCAACAACAATAAACACAAAAAAACCCCCAAACAACCAAAAGACTCCAGTGCTTTCTCATGTCAATTGGGTCTTCTTTGCAATTTAAGCACATAAAATTTGCCTTATCAACCAAACCCATGGAGAGCAGGTAAACCATCCTGTTACAGAGTACCCTTTCAACTATTTAATATTATTGTAGAGTTTTAGTGAAGTGAATCAAGGTTCATTATTTCATCCACAACAACCTTAGCAAGGCAACAAACACATTCCAGATCACAGTTCCCTTCGTAAAAGTAAACACTGACTATTAAATCAGAAAACCCAAAGGATCAGAACAGCAACTCAAAGGGGACTGAACAGTAACAGATACTTTCAGCATACAAAGAAATGAACATTACAGGGCTGCTATTGCAGTACTGCTCATAACATTCGGTAGCCTCTTCAAGAGAGGAAACAGCTCAGATGGAGGACATCATTGCATAGGAGTCCTCCATTCAGCTGTTGGAGAAGATGTAAAACTGTTCCTTTCTGGAACAATACTGCTATTCATATAGCTGCATCTTTATCAGGTTCTCTTATTGCATCTTAGGAAACCTGTTCTAGTATCAAGTACAACACAAGACAGAAGCTCACTGGGAGTGGAGGGGCAGTGAAGAGAAACATGGAACTGCTAAGGTTGGAAAAGACTTCCAAGATCATCAAGTCCAACCATTAATCTAACACCAGGTCGATCATTAAACCAGGCCCCTAAGCACCACATCAACATGTCTTTTCAGCACTTCCAGAGATGGTAATGCCACCACTTCCCAGGCACACCTTGAGGTCATTTCTTCTTCTTCTATTGCTTGTAACTTGGGAGAAGAGCCCAACCCCTATCTCACCACAAACTCCTTTCAGGTAGTTCTAGAGAGCAGTAAGTTGTCCAACGAGCATGCTTTTCTCCAGGCTAAACAACTTCAGCTCCTGCCGCCACTCCTCATAGAACTTGTGCACCAGACCACAGTACTGAGCCCTGGGGAACATCACCGGTGACGAGCCATCAGCTGCATGTAATTCCATTCACCACCACTGTCTGGCCTGGCCATCCAGTTGTGTTTTTACCCATCCAAGCCATGAGCAGACAGTTTTCCAGGAAAATGCTGCAGAAGACAGTGTCAAAGGCTTTACTAAGGTCCAGACAGCCAAAATTCACAGCCTTTGCCTCATCTATTAAGGTTGTCACCCCATCATAGCAGGAGACCAGATCAGCTTATTTCAAAATTCATTATTTGAATAATGATGAACTTTTCCTGTTTCTAATAAGTACGTTTCACTTTTAAGAAATATCTTCATTTGATCATCTGCTGTATAACTTATCAGGGCAACTAGACTGAGAAGCCAAGGCCCTGAAGAAATTCCACAAAAAAATTAAGCTAAAATTGCACAGGAATTTTAGGCAGAAGGCAGAAGTCATAATCTTTACCTACTAACTACAGACTTTCTACGTTAGGGTAAAAAAAAAAAGGTAGAAAACTATTACCCTTATGCAGCACCTATAGGAACCAAATTTAATCTCCTCCCACAAACCGCTTATAAAAATCTTTGGTGAGCAGAAAGTGGTGGTGGATAGTTGTTCACTGTCTGCTGGACACAGGCTACAAGAAATTAATCCCTAAGAGCTTGTAAGTTTCACCAGTGTTCCCAGCAAATCCGGGTGGGTAGGACCAGACACTTAAAGCCCACAAAAACTATTTTTGTTAATCATGGCTGCATTGCAATACACTGTCCTATATTCAGGCAACATGGCTATTACTTTAACTCCATTACTTTAACTTTGATATTTACAAAGACTAATATTCCTAATAAATGTATATTTATCATGGATGGCAGTGAAATCACACTAGCAATTATTACCCATGTTATTATCCATGAAGGGCATAGATCTATTGGAGCTGGTCCAGAGGAAGGCCACAAAAGCCATCAGAAGGCTGAAGCACCTCACCTATGAAGGCTGAGAGAGTTGGGGTTGTTCAGCAGGGAGAAGAGAAGACTTTGGGCAGACCTTATTGTGGCCTTTCAATAGTTAAAGGGAGCTTATAAGAAATAAGAGGACAATCATTTTAGAAGGGTAATAGTTTTACATTTAGATGAGCTATAAGGAAAACGTTTTTTACAATAAGGGTGGTGAAACACTAGAACAGGCTGTGCAGAAAAGTGGTAGATGTCCCATCCCTGGAAACATTTAACATTAGGTCATATGGGGCTCTGAGCAACTTGACCTAGTTGGAGATGTCCCTGCTTATGGCAGGGGATTTGGACTAGATGACCTTTAAAGGTCCTTTCCAACACAAATTATTCTGTGATTCTATGTTCTCACAGAAGAAGAGAGCGTCTGTGCATCCCTGTGTGTCTGTTGTCAGCCTCTATGTAAAAATCAGGATAGGAATGGATTTCATTATAAAGCATCACTTTACAACATATCCAATCTCTGATTCATTATTACTTTGCAAATCCTTTAAACAAGTAATTTTGTCATTTGTATTTGCATTAAATAATAATTTCTTAAGCATATTACTTTATACCTATCTAAATTAAATCTTAGACCATTTAAAATTGCTCATCTCCTTTAAAAATCTCCATAACATTCTAGAATTACAAGAGAGTTTTCTTTCTTCCAGTATCTGTATAAAATAAGACATCTCCATACAATTTGCAAGCTTTAGCACAGTAACGTTCATTTCATCTTTCAGCTTTTTAGTGGAGATGATGCATTTTTTTTTAATAACAATACAGACCATATACACTGTTTCTGGACTAAGTGCTTTCCCTTGCTTACCATGAAACACTTCTGCAATCAGCAATCCTAATCTGGTCTATTCCTTTCTCTGTTTCAATCACTTCTGTAGACTCACCTGTGAAAACTCCCCTTCGAGGAAGCACCAAGACATTAACACATAGCTATAATAGGCAGCTGCAACAACTTAGACCATCAAAGATTCCCGAAGTATCCCGTGACTCACAGTATTACATCATCCATTGCAAAACTTCCCACCGCAGGATACTAGGCATTACTACCTGAACCTGAGCATATATAACTCCTGAAATCTTTGAGTTTTGTGGACTTCCCCCACCAGATCAAGACCCCACAAGACTGTGTCCATCACTTCAACCAACAGACATCAAAGTTGCAACTACCAAGTCTCATTGCTGGATTCAATGGGTGGTGACTATATAACTTTCTACTTTTATCTTTTCTCTTTCTTTTCCTTATCCATTTTCCTAAATGTTATTTCTACATTTTAATATTGCTGTATTACTGTAGATAATAACACCCAAAACAGCTTCACACCTGTTTTCCTTCACAACCAAACTATTCTAAAACAAATCCTACATATATATGTATTTATAAACACTGATCATTCAGTGTCACTTCATTCTAATCTGCCCCAAGGGATCTATTAACAAGAACCCAGGTTACCCTTGCCTTCTGGGGCAGGTCATAACACGTGGATAAATACTACACAAACCCTAAGCCCGTCCTCATTCATTTATATTTTAAAATGAATGCATTAGGTTATCTTTGAGTATTTTTTACAGTCTGCCAAAATTCACAGTCATATTGACAGTAATGTATACAAAAAGCAGTTTTCACACTTCCATATTTGCATACTTACTTCATCAGCAATAGCACTCTGTATGACAGGAAGCTGCCTGACACAGCAAGGCAATAGAATTCAGCCAAGCCATAGCAGAGGGACACGCAGTAAGTTATCTAATGGTTATTTTTATGGAAAACTATGAACATGCACCACATGATCCCCCTTCTTGTTAAACTGGTATTCTCCTTTTGCCTCAGGCCCTGTACATTGCAATGTCATCTCCAAAGAATTATATTTATTAAGTTAAAAAAAAGTTTAACTAATGTCAGTGGATGAAGACAGGGTAAAATAAAATACATTTTATCACAGCTGTTCAGGTCACTGGCTG